TTGGTTAAAACCAGACCAGGAGCTGTGCCAACAACAGTTCAGGTGCCAAGCCCTGACACTTCCCATCACTGAACAATTAAGTACAATTGGTGTTGTGAAAAACGAGATTCACTTTCTTGTTAAAATTTAGAGGGTTTTAATAAATGACAATAGGATACATAAAAGCAAAGGAATATGGCACCGGGTGCTTGGCGATCTGTCAGAGGCACACCGGGTATGGACAGGAACCTCTTTAAATACATTCTGTGTTACATCAGCCTAATGCTTATTCATAGACACTTATGCATATTTAAACCTGTCTTGTTGTTTTATGTTCCTGGGGTCATGTCTGTATGACCCCTATTCCACAACTTCAGCAGATGGGCCTTGTTGATAGAGAGGTGTCCATAGCAGGAGCCCCTAATGGGTCACGGGACCCCTGGCCTGTCCATTGCAGATATGGTTGTCTGAAGGTTGAGGGGTCCCATCAGCCAGACTCCTTGTGCTGCAAACGATGGATGTTTTTACAAGTTCTTCTGATTAGATATTTTTTCCAAAGTCTCTGTTCCTTCCACCCCCACCCTTTGGCTGTCAGGGTCTGTGCTGGCCTGGCAGTTGATAGCCCTGGGGCGATGGCCTCCCACCCCGAAGGTGCTAAGCATCTTTGTGAATGTGTGCATTCTTTTCCCCAGCTCTGAGCTGCTTCTTATCTTTAAGGACCATTGCCAGCAGGGCCCCATTCAGGTTTTTTTTTGGTGACTTTCTTTGCAGCTTTTGTATAGTTTTGCTATAATATAAAAAACATAACTAAACTTCTTCTACAAATAAGACAATATTATATCATGATGCACAACACATAGCATCTACCTTTAATCTCTGCGAGAACTAATACTACARTATGTGTTTACACACATATAACACACACATAGCACTCATCTTAACATTTGYGAAAGYCAGYACTAYAATATGTGTTTATAACAGTGTTAACTCTTTCAGCCCAAAGCTAGCAGAGAATTACTTCCAGTGAGGTACCAAAGTTACAATCCAGAAATGTATCTCTCTCTATGAGACCTCTGGGCAGAGGTTAAAAATAGTGAGAGGACCGTGGTGGGAGAGGTTGCCCTTTGGGAAGGGATATCTCGTTTGATCTTCCCAGCTCTTCAATGCCATCACGTTTCCCATCTTTCTGCTCTGGGACCTCTTGGGGACATGCTCTGTTTGCTTTGGTGAGGGTGAGGTGACTGCCACAAAGCACCTTTTCTCTCCTCCAGACTATTTTTTCCCCTGAGAGGTYAGCAAGTGAGAAGTCTGGTGAATGCCCCGTGGCTCAGAGGCTGTCACAAGGACTGGGAGAAGGGAAGCTGGTGAGCTGTTAAAATAAGCTGTCCAGAGGGTGGTGGGTTGCTTGCTCACCTCAGTCCRTAGACCAAGAACTGATACTGGTAGGAAATGGCAGTCACTGTGTCCTGTTTCACCATCCCACCTCTCCTGGGATCTTAGCACAGCAAGTTCAACTATAGGGAACCATCTGGGGCTTAAATTAAAGTAAGATAGATGCTGACAG